GGGCCCAGATGTGGCTGGGGCTCAGCAGCATCCGGACAGGAGGTGGGGGGTAGTGTCGCCGTCTTTCGTGTGGCTGTTGCCGGGGGGTCCTCCGGGCTGCCTGAGCTGGGCTGTGCCGGCCCACCCCGATCTCCGCAGCCGGCTGTGTGTGGATCTGGTGTGCCAGTGTGTGTTTATCTGCCGTGCGTGTGTTTGAGTCTGTATTTATCTGGCGCGAGTGTGCGCGTCTTTGTTTTCCCTTCTGCTCCGTCTCCGCAAACGTGGGGGAAACTTCTCTGTTTTTAATCAGGGGCCAGGGAACTGTCTCGTCGCCATGCTAGCAATGGTGTGATTAATTAGGCCGTTTGGAAGTGATCTTCATGAGTGTTCCCTGAGATTAGGCCTGAGGTGCCCTGCCCCCTCCTCGTGTGCCTGAAAAGGGAAACTGAGGCACGCGGGGGTGGGGGGGTGCTGCGCGAGGCCTCTCTGTGGGCAGCCAGGGAAAGGAAGTTTTACATGCAAAGCATTTTGCACGCATGAAAGCTTGATGGGTCCCCTCACACATTGAAGAAAACGAATTCCCATCCCGTGCACAGAGGAGGAAACTGAGGCACGGAGGCGGGACCCGGAGCTCGTGGGTCTCCAAGGCTGGTCTCCTTGTCCTTTCAAGTGGCAAGCAGTTTTTTGAAGCTGTCCAGGGCTGCTTGGACCTCACCCGTGTCTCAGTTTCCCCTTCCAGTCACTTCCCCTGCCCCACTAGCCAGCTTGTGCCAGTCTGAATAATCCATGTTTCTTGGCCGGGTGCCAGCGTTCTCATATTTTCCGTTCTCGGATGCTCCAGGCCCAGGGGCCTGGCTGGCTCTGTGAACACAGATATCAATTAGCATTAATTAATAACCCCTGAGGGGTGAGGGAGCTGCCTGTAAATCCCCAAGCTCCGAAGGGCCCAGAGGCTGACTTGGGTCCTTGGTGTGTGGCTGTTGGAGCCTGAGGTGGGCCCCGAGGTGGGCAAGGTCGGCTGTGCCCCGGCTGTGGGATCCCGGCATGCTCTGAGAGCGGGACCCATGGATGGTACCGCTTGTGCCCCCTTAACGGGTCAGGGCTGCTGCTCCCAGGCCCAAGCCCCAGAGGCAGGAGGCCCTGTGTGACCCCATGGAGGCAGAGCAGCGCCTGGGCCGGAGGGGACCCTCACCCCGTCTGCCAGGGGCTGGAGTCCACGGTTCCCCGAAAGGCCGCACGTTCAGCTCACATCTGCATACCTACCGAGTGCCCTTGGCCAAGTTACTTACCCTTGGTCTCCTCGTTCATGACATGAGTGTGATTTCCAACGGCTGATGGAAAGAATAAATGGCCGTGTGTGCATTTCATGGCAGGTGCACACTGTCACCATGGTTACGGAAGTCGTAACCAGGAGCCACAGTTGTGACAAAAGGCCCCGGGGGCCAGCTCCGCCGCTTACCAGCCGAGTGACCTGGAATTGGGATTCGGCGTACCTGGGTATCAGTCTCCACATCTGTCAAACGGGACCGACACGGTATGGACTTCACAGAATTGTGCGAAAGCCAAATAAGATAATGCCCCTAAAATGCTCAGGACAGGGCTGAACACGCTGTAAGGTCGTGACGAGTGGTGGCTGAAACGCGGAGAGAGGACGCCTCTGTGGCTGCGTTAGAGCGTAGGGGTGTGGGGTTGAGGGCGGGAGGCCAAGTCTGGTCACCTTAAGGGAATGATTAGTGCCGGGGCACTGGGGCGGGCTGACTTACGTCTCCACGAAAATTATGCTCAGGTCCTCACCTCCGGTACCTGGGAAGGTGACCTTATCTGGAAATAGGGTCTCTGTAGGTACAGTTAGTTAAGTTAGAGGTGGGTCATCCTGGATTAGGGTGGGCCCTAAATCCAATACAACTGGTGTCCTGGTTGGAAGAAGACGGGAGGGCACTTGGGTGGCTCAGTGGGTTAAGTGTCTGATTTCAGCTCAGCTCATGATCTCGCGGTGCGTGGGTTCGAGCCCCACCTCGGGCTCTGCGCTGACGGCTCAGAGCCTGGAGCCTGCTTTGGATTCTGTGTCTCCCTCTCTCTCTCTCTGCCCCTCCCCCGCCTACACTGTGTCTCTCTCTGTCTCTCAAAATTGAATAAACGTTTAAAAAATGTATTAAAAAGGAAAAAAAAAAAAAAAAGAGGAGACAGGAACGCAGAGAAGGCCACGCGAAGACAGAGGCTGAGAGAGGAGAGATGTGGCCAGAGGCCAAGGAACACCCGGCCTGCAGCCCCTGGCCGGGAGGGAGGGAGGGAGGGAGGCCTGGGACCGATTCTCCCTCTGAGCCAGCCCGGCCCACGTCCGATTCCAGACTTCTGGCCTCCAGAACTGTGGGAGAATCGATTTCTCTTGTTTGCAGCCACCCGGTTTTATGGCACTTTGCTTGGTCAGCCCTAAAATCCTACAGCAGGCATCTGTCCCGTTTTCCAAAGCTGCGTGGTGCCCCCGGCACCGTGGCTAAGATTTCCTCATCCTTTGTCCGTGGATCGTTTCCCGCTCCGCACGGTGGCCAACAAGCCTGCCAGAAACATCCCGGCTCCCACCTTCATGCTCGAGAGCAGCTTCTGCCGGAAAGGGAGCGGATGGTAGAGGGCCGGTGCACTAAACGGGGCCAAGCGGCCCCCCAGAAGTGCCAGGAAGTTTACCGCCCCCTCCGAAAGGGAGCACCCCAAGAGCCTGTTTCAAACGTGGGTCCAGCTGCCCAGGGAGGCTGCGGCCTGGTTAAAACGACCCTTCCGTCCTCGGGAAAGCTGCAGGAGTTCCGTAGCCCGTCCTTCGGGCGCTGAGCAGGGAAGAAACTCTCTTGGACTTCCTGAACCTCCAGAGGGGCCAGAGATCCGGGCATGGTGGATTCTGGTGGGAGGTGACCCCAGGAAGCACGGGAAGGGGAGAGAGGGGGAGGGAAGGGAGGGCTGTCGGGGAAGTTGTGCTCACAAGCGAGTCTCCACTGCTGACAGGTGGGGCTCAGTCCCCCGCTGGGGACTGGGGACACTGAGACACCAGAGTGAGCACACCCTCAGAGCTTTCCCACCAGGGGGCGAGGGAGCTGGGGTATTTATCCCGCACTCCCATCAGTCTCACCGGGCAAAGGCCGCTGCGACACTGCGTTTGCTCTCCAGAACTTTCCACTGGCCCTGGGAACGGTCCGGCTGTGGGGGTTGGGGGGGGGGCTAGCTGTTGGAGGAAGGGGGTCCGCTCCCAGGAGTGCCGTGGGGATATGGGTGGATGCTGACATTCTGGGAGAGTGAAGGTAGGTGATAAACAGACCAAATAAATCACAGGGTGGACTCGGAGGGGTGTGTGTGGAAGGAAAAAGATGAGTTAGAGTGGCCAGGGGTAAGGTGACAGTGCAGTAGGTCAAGGTCCCTGACACCGAGCTCAGCACCCAGTAGGAGACTCATGAATAAACCATGCTTGTCTCTAGTGAAGAGAGGGAGG